CCTGTGCTGTGTCCCCCGAGCTGTGCCCCTGAGCAAGTCACTTCACTGAAGATGGGTTCCTCACCTGTGAAATGGTAGTAGAGTGTGCTAGTCCCTGGGTTGTCAACTGAGCTTAAACATGGACTTTAGAACAGCATCTGGCCCACAGGAAGTGAGTGGAGGGCTGCCTTAGTTAATTATTCTCTGACTCCATTGTGTCAGGATCTCCAGGAGGCTCTAGAAGTGACATTGTAACCAGAAAGATTACTGTCTTTCCCTTGTCCCTGCCCTATCCCCTTCCTCTTTGCAGGAGCAGGGGTAGGTTGGCGCTGAGACCTGGGAGGGGTAGGTCCACACTGAGACCTGGGCAGTCTTGTGTGACTGAAAAATTCGAAGAATATCTTAGGAGACCATCCTAAAGAGTAAAAATTGTAAGTGATATCTCTCTGTGTGTTGCAATTTCTTTACTGTGTAAAAGTTTAGTTTAAAATAAGGCATTTTTGCAGACTGTATTTTATTAAGTTTAAAGTAGTAGTTTGTGGACTCTCCCAACCCCCCACAAACTGCTAAAAAATAAGAGGAGCGGTTTGCTCTCCCTGCCCTGGTGCGTCTGACCTGCCATCCTGGCTTTCCCTACTCTGAGTCTAGTGTCATTAAGTCTGGAGAAGGGGGAGGGGGGCATACAGCATCGGGAGAGCCGTTAGGGGGAAACCCAGAAATGTGAAGCGAGCCCTCCGGGCAGAATGCAGCTCCTGCTCAGGGTCTGGGCCGGGGCCCAGCCATGGCTGCAGAACTGCCACAGCTGTTTCTGTTTCATGCTTTTGCATTTTTGCTCTGTGACATATGGATAAAAAAATCTTTTAAAAAGAACTTTAGTTTAACTTAAAGGAGATAACCAGCCATTTGTGTTTAATGTAAAAAGGTTGGTTGAGTAAAGAAAAGGAACTTACTAATACTTGGAATGCTGGGGGTATTTATTATGTATATCTTGGTATCTCAGTGTGTGCGTGTGTGTGTGTGTGTGTGTGTGTGTGTGTGTGTGTGTGTGTGTTAGAAGGGTAGGGGGACTGTGCAGAAGTTCTCTGAGGACAGAAGAGGTTGTTGGATCCCTGGAGCTGGAGTTAGAGATGGTTATAATCCTCCATACATGAGTGCTGTGAGTTGAACCCAGGTCCAGGAGCAGCGAGGGCTCTTTGTTTCTTTGTATAGTCCTGGCTATCCCGGAATGAACTGTAGACCAGAGATCTACCTGCCTCTGCCTCCCAAGTGCTGGGATTAAAGTCGTGCTCCTTCACCACTGCCTGGCTGCAGCAACTTAAAACTTGTTATTTTTGAATGGCATATTGACACATGGTCACACATGCTTATAATCTCAGAACTTGGGAAGTGGAGACAGTAGGATCAGAAGTTCAAGGCCAGCCTTAGTTAAATAATAAGCATGTGATCAGCCTGACTATGTGAGACCCTGTCTTCAGACACCAGGCCAAACCAAACCACTGTTTTGGGGTATGCCCAGCCTTTTAGTGAAGTCATAGTAAGCACAGTGCAGTGCCAACATCCAAGACTGCAAAGCAGCAGGCAGCCAAGGCAGAAAGCTGCAGTGTTAGTGAGCTCTGAAGAAATGTAGTGCCTAGTACTGAAAATACTGCGTGTTGTAAAGCCAGATGCAGAAGTCACAAAAACACAGGAAGATATAACAGTGTTTGAAAATTAGAATATTCAAGAGTCACTAAAGAAAACCAGGGAATCTTTGAGAATGGGGATTGTTCATATTAGTGTTTATATAGGTGTTTTCAGTAACATCATTAAAAGTTTTAAAAAACAATTATTTCAGGCTGGAGCTATAGCTTAGTGGTAAGGTCACTAGATCTCTTCCAGAGGATCTAGGTTCAGTCTCAGCATCCACACGGAGGCTTAAACCAATCTGTAACTATAGTCTCAGCAGATCCCTCTCTGGCCTCTTAAGTATTCTCGATGGATTACGTGGTGCATGGACGTAACATGTGGGCACAACACCCATACACACAAAATAATACGATACAATAGAAACTTTAAAGATTTATTTTTAATTATGGGTGTTTGTGTGCTTTTGAGCAAGTGTGCAATGGTGGAGGAGGCCAGACGAGGGGGATCCCTTGGGCCTGGAGTTCCAGACAGTTGTGAGTCATCCATCATGGATGCAGGGAACTGAATTCAAATCTTGTCTAAGCACAGTCTGCATTCCTAACCGCTGAGCCATCTCTCCAGCCCCGTCATTAATATCTAAGACAAGTACATCAAAACTTGGCATACTTAAACTTCAGGATGTAGATTTTATCTCTTAATTTTCAAAGAAAATTATACCTGGAGCTGTGAGCCGAGAGCTGAGTGCTTGCTGAGAATGTGACAGACCCCATGTTCAGGTCTGATTGCTGCAATTAAAACAGAACAAAGCAAAAATAGAAGTCAGGACTGGGGAGGTTGCTCTGTGGATATAGCGCTCGCTGTTTTAGTTTGGGGACCAGAGGTCAGATGCCCAGCACCCTGACAAAGCCTGTGTGACTGTGGCTCAGCTGGAACTGTGCAGGGAGACAGGTGTGGGAGATCTGAATTCCTGTCCTCGTGCAAGAACTTGAGCCATCTCCCTAGCTTCTCCTAATCCTTCCTTCAAAAGATTTAATATGGTTAAGAAGACTTGAGGTAGTGACCCATGTGCATGTTCAGGGTTTCAGGTGAAGTGATTGGTTGGCATGTCTGCAGCACAGGCAGAAGGAGGAGCTTTCCCACTCTGGGACAAGAACTCAGGACATTTCCTTGTTCTAAGAACAGTAAAGTGAACAGGTGTCCTGCAGTGTGAGAATGACACGCAGATAGATTCCTGGAATCTGTCCTTGTTAGGATTTGCTGTAGCTGGGGCTTTTACCCTCCTTATTCCTGGTAGAAGGAGTGTGTCCAGGGCGAACTCATTTCTGTGAAGCCTGTGTCTAGTACTTGTTATATATGCATAGCCTGAGGGACTGGACAGTGGTGGCCCTGTGTGCATGGGCACTTGTGTGTGTGTGTGTGTGTGTGTGTGTGTGTGAGAGAGAGAGAGAGAGAGAGAGAGAGAGAGACAGACAGACAGACAGACAGACAGACAGAGACAGAATCACTGAAATAGGGAATACTGCTGTGATTCACTCTATTTGCAATCACTTGGTAACAGGAGTATTCAGAGAATAGCAAATTATATTTTTATTTTGATCACATTAAAAAAAATCATCCTAAACATAAAATTGGTGTCTTGATGTACCTTTTGTTTCTTTCTCCTATTGGATGAAATAGACTTTTAAAAATTTCTTTAGATTTGTTTTTATTTTATGTGTATGAGTTGTCCTGCCTGGCATATATGTGTGTGGACCACATGTGTGCTTGGCCGCCACAGGGGCTAGAATTGGGCATCAGGTTCCCTGGAAACAGAGTTACAAATGGTTACTGGGAGTGACACTTTGGTCTTCTGTAAGAACAAAGTACGTTTAACTGCTGAGCCTTGTAGCCTCTAAATCTTACCTAGCTAAATGACTACACAATGCCATTTTATTAAAATACCAGGTTTTGATGGGCGGTGGTGACACACACCTTTAATCCCAGTGCTCCAGAGGCAGAGGCAGAGGCAGGTGAGTCTCTTGAGTTTGAGGCCAGCCTTGTCTACAGAGCAAGTTCCAGGACAGCCAAGGCTACACAGAGAACCCTGTCTTGAACAAACAACTCGCCCCCCCCCCCAACCAAAACAGGTTTTAGTGTTGGGTAGTGAGCATATTGGCCAGTGTCAGTCAAGGACATAGAACACCTTGGTGAGGCAGCCACTGCACTGTAAGAGTAAGGTAGCAGCCTCTAAGCACCAGCTAGGGCTGTGGCCATGGCTCAGTAAGTAAAGCACTCACTGCCCAAGCGTGCGTACCAGGTTTCAGGTCTCTAGAACCCACAGAGAGCCAGGCGCAGTGTTTTAATTCCAGTGCTTTTCTGCTGAGGTAGAAGGCAGAGAGAAGAGACTATTGTGGAAGGGCGCAGTAAAGAAACTGCTGACTCTGTTAGGGGAAGGTTTTTATGATGGGTAAAGAGAGAAAATATCCGGGGCATCTGGAAGAGTCCAGAGCAGAGCGAGAAGGAGAAGGCAGATTAGACTTGGTCAGGCCTGGGGTGCTGTTTGTATGCAACACTAGGGAAGCAAGGGAGTGGGGAAGGGGGTGCGTTGGGAGATAGCAAGACAGCTTAGCCCGAGTACAGCAGGCTTAGAGAGCAGCAGGATGGTGTACGAGTGAGGGGCAGACAGGTCACATGGATTGTGAGGAGGCCGAGTAGCTGCTGGGAGGAACTCCTTCTGGGGATAGAAAACCCAGCTCACAAGTTCCTGAGGAATGCTGGCTTTTCTCTAAGCTCCAGAAGTCCTGCAGCCTGAAGTCCACTTAAAATTATTTCTAGACATATGGGAAGGGAGGTGGGGTGCTGAGATCTGACCGATACGATACGCTGCAGGGTGGAAGGGAAGCTAGCTTACCCTGTGCAGTGGGGAACAGCAGAGAGCTGGCTTAAACTAGACAGGAGGTAAGGACTAAACTCGAGGTTGTCCTCTGACTTCACAGTCTGGCTTACACACACACACACACACACACACACCCCTACCTACCTACCTACCTACCTAGAATACTCACTCTGCCTTGTTACTTTTCTGAATGCATTTTTAAAAATTTATTTATTTTTATGTATATGAACACACTGTAGCTGTCTTCAGACACACCAGAAGAGGGTGTTGGATCCCATTACGGATGGTTATGAACCACCATGTGGTTGCTGGGAATTGAACTTAGGACCTCTGGAAGAGCAGTCAGTGCTGTTAACCCCTGAGTCGTCTCTCCAGCCCCTGAACACGTTCTTTTTAGGTGTCTTTGGCTCCTAAGCTTAGGGACAGTTTTGATGGTTTTGGTACACTGATGTCATTGTTCTTACAGGTGGTTGTGTTTCGGCCTTCAGTGACAGAGTGTCCTTTCTCTCCCCTTCTGTAGATACGACGGAGGCGCCTGGCACGACTTGCTGGTGGACAGACCTCCCAGCCGACCACCCCGCTTACGTCTCCCCAGAGAGAGAACCCTCCGGGACCTCCAATAGCTGCATCAGTCCCAGGCCCCTCCCAGAGTCTTGGTCTCAATGTCCACAACATGACCCCAGCTACCTCCCCCATAGGTGCAGCAGGTGAGCCTCAGCCTCCAGCCTGGAAGCTGTTGTACTTTGGTCTCAGCAGCTTGATGTTGCCTCACAGATTAAAGCAGTCAGTGGCCTGAAGGTCACTGCGGTGTGTCTTGCTTCTGTCTGTTCATTTGATAGTGACCCGTGAAGACTTCTGCAAACCCATCTCCTTCCCCTTCTCCAGCTCCAGCTCCTCTGCCAGCCAGGCTCGGGTCTAGCGAAGATGGAGTTGACTCTGCTGATTTTGTGAATTTGGCTGGTGCTTCTCCCCGCAACCCCTAGTCTTCCTTTCTATACGCTTGGGCTCTCCTAAAGACCGCTCTGCCTTCCCCTACTGCTATCTAGGGGCTAGGGAGAGACCATGGTGGGTAAAGTGCTTCCTGCACGGGAGTGAGGACCCACAATCTGGTTCCCACAACCATGTGAGACCTGGGTTCAGGAGTTCGTGCCTGTAACCCTAACACTCAGGAGTAGAGACAGGAAGGGGATTCTAGGACCCTGGCCAGCCAGTCTAACAAATAGGTGAGTTCTAGTTCAGTGGGAGGGAGGTCCTGTCTCAAAAACAAGAGGAAGAGACCCACCACCATCTTTTGAGTGCTTGCATGCTTGTGCATGCGCAAGCGCATGCGCGCACACACACACACACACACACACACGCACACACACACACTAATCTGTAAATGGAAGATTGAAGAAAGTGGTCAAATGGCAAGCTCCTGGTTACTCACCAGCATGTGTGCGGCCCTGGGTTCAGTCCCTAGCACCACAGGAATCAACTCTGCCTGTGTGGGGTTAGTAGCTGTATCATTGAGAGCTGCTTAACCCCGGTAAAATGTCCTTCCCCCCACCCCCCTTAAATAAATGAGCTCATAGACGATGTTCGGGGTTGTCTTTCTTAAGAAACAGTGATGCCCATTCACATGTGTACCTGTAAATATTTTCCTTCATGATTTTTCTATCAAACGTGGTAACTTCATAATTACTATGTAATGGTTAAATTATGAAGTAGGAGCTACAAGAGCCATATGTATCCCATGTAAAAATCTGATGTATGACTGTTAATTCCAGTTCTGGGTGCTCTTTCTCTTGTCAGCTAAGTGTTCTGTTGCTGTAAGTCATTAGCCCTCCCGTGTAGGCTTCTCCCTGTGTGGATAAATGCCGACCTGTCATCCTGTGAGTGATAACAGAAATTCCGAACAAAGCATCATTTGGTGGGAACATCTGTGGAATGCATGGTTGGAGTAGCCGTGGCAGTTTTCTCATAGTTCTCAGAGTTTGTGTTCAGGATTCCAGGGCAGGTTTGTCCTTTCCTCAGGAAACATGGTCACAGCTTTGCTGTTTCCCTGCTATGAAGGGGCTGTCCCTGCAGCCCTGGTATGTTTTCAGGGCAGTACCTCTTCTGGCTGTTTTCCTTGCTGGCTGTGTCACAGTTCTGGCTCCATTCATTCCCTACCTGCTGTTTGTCTCCTGCCCTGGCCCAGGCTGGAGGAGAACGCACACAGCCTCTGGTCTGTCAATCTTGCTCAAGCCCACAATCACAAACTCAAGTAGAACCCAGTACACCTAGGCAGCTTTCTGAGGTTTCCCTGTCTACTCTCTTAGTCTGCTACCACGTGTGCTGCACCTTGTTCTTCATGCACACTCTCAGGGTGGAGCAGACACACACGCAGAAGGGACCCTGTAAACCGTTGTCGTCGCTTTCATCGGGTTCCTGTGTACGCACCTAGTTCTTGTTAGGACTTACTGTCCTACCCAACCAGTGCCTGTGCATCCTCTCACCACTGTGCGAAGCCTCAGTTCCCACAGCTCCCTTTTCCTTCCAGGCATATGTTTGAGGTTTTCTACCTCAGGTGAGCCCTTGTTAACTATACTGAGACATTGCAGTAAGTATACTGTGGTACTTCTCCCTCTGTGACACCTGTGAAAAGGAACTCCTTCATCCTGTTTGCCCTGCAGCTCCCGCCCCTCTCTCCCCTGCAAGCCTTCTGGGCTAAGTCCCTCCCCCTCTGTCTTTCAACTTTGCACCCTGTGCTGAGCTGAAGGAGCATGGGGTGGAGCTCCGATCTGAGGCGCTGTCTCCTCACTTGGTGGCTTTCACCCTCTCACTTCCATTTAGCTTCCAGAGCAGTCTTGTCCTGGTTCCCATCCTCTCTGTTCCTTCTTAGTGACCTTAGGGCAGTATGCCAGCGTTCAGTGTTTAAACTGTTGTCTCTCTATCTGTGTTTATTCGCTTACTGATGTCATCTAGTTTCCTGGCTTTAATTATTCCTTCCAGTTCGATAACTCCTTAGTTTACATTTCCAGTTCAGACCTGCATATTGAACTTTAGACTTATAATCTTATGACCCATTTGACCTCTACTTTCTTGTCACATCAGCATTGTACACTTAAAATCTTAAAAATAAATATGTGTGTTTTCCCACATGTATGTCCGCCCGCACCCACATACACATTGTGTACAGGTATGTGTGCATATGTCTGTTCCTGTGTGTGGAGGCCAGAAATAGGTGTCAAGTGTTTCCTTTGATTGTGCTCTACCTTATTTTATGAGATAGTGTCTTACTGAACCCAGCTTGCTGGTTTGGCTAAACTGCCTGGCCAGCAGTAACCTGAGATCCTGTTGGCTCTGTCTCCCAGCACTGGATTACAGGTGTGCCTTGCTACACCTAGCTTTTGTGTGGGTGCTGGAGATCTGAACTCAGGTTCTCATGCTCGTGTGGCAAGCACTGTGAGCCGTTTCTCCAGCCCTTTAACACCAAGGTTTGGGGCTAGTGAGATGGTTTAGCAAGTAAATGGGTTTGCTGCACAGACGTGAAGAGACGACGTCATACTCTAGAACCCAGGTAAGACTGGAAAGACCTGACTCCACAACGAGAGCCTCTGACCACCATAGACATGCTGTGCTGTGTGAGGTCCTCCCCTACAGTAATAATAAAGTCAAGCTTTGATAGTTCCTCGTATCTTACCCCAGGCCTACACTTGATGCACATCAGCCCCAAATCATGTCTTAGAAAACCAAGACCAGGGTGGCAAGACGGCTTAGAAAGCACAGGCGCTCACTGTCAAGCCTGATGACCGAAACCTACAGGGTGGCAGGAAAGAAAACCTTTATAAGGCGTCCTTTGACCTGCTAGATCACACACACACACACACAGAGAGAGAGAGAGGGAGAACATGGGAGGAGGCCAGTGAAGGAAAAAAGTAGAGAGAGAGAGAGAGAGAGATTGAGAGATTGAGAGATTGATTGTGTATGTAGCAGGCTCCCCCTCCCATAAATAAATGAAGATGATTTTGTTTGTTTGTTTGTTTATTTTGGTTTTTCGAGACAGGGTTTCTCTGTGTAGCCCTGGCTGTCTTGGAACTCACTCTAGACCAGGCTGGCCTTGAACTCAGAACTCCGCCTGCCTCTGCCTCCCAAGTGCTGGGAATAAAGGCGTGTGCCACCACTACCTGGTGAAGATGATTTTTAAAAGGAAGAAAACGGAGACCAAGCTAACAACATGTTTTTAGCGTCCCTTTCTTAGAAAAGCTGTCTTTGGCCACTGCCTAACGTACATAACACAGTGCCATGCCTCTCGGCTCTTACTGGCGTTGTGCTCCTTGTACGCCTGAGGTTTGATTTTGTTTGATTTTGAGACAGAATCTTGCTGTGTGAGGCCCAAGCTGTCCTCAGTTGAGGGGTCCACCTGCTTTCACCGCCTCAGTGCTGACTTTACCTGCCATGGCACTATGTCTGGCTATGTGCCTCCCCTGATGGAGTCAGGAACTAGTGTTTGTTCTGCTCACTCCTGTGTCCCCTGTGCCTGGTATTGGATCTAAGTTGGGGTGAATTAGTGAATGAATCACAAAGAGAAAATGACCAGATGGGCACAGGCTTCTGTAGCTTTAAGACATTTCAAGAAATTATGATTGTCATTTTAAAAATGAAGAGTTGCCAGGTATGATGACTCACTCCCTTGACACCAGCATTTGGAAGTCAGGAGTGGATAGATCTCTATGAACTCAAGGCCAGTCAGGTCTTTGGAGTGAGTTCCAGGCCAACCCTGTCTCAAATAAGTACAAAGTAAAGAAAGAAAAGCTATGGGCTGGCAAGATGGCTCAGCTGATAAAAGCACTTGTCTATAAGCCTGATGGCCTGAGTTCAGTCCTGGGAACTCCCATGGAAAGAGAAAACCACGTCGCCCTCACACACACCCTTTCAGCTCTCTCTCTTCTAAACCTAGGAATGAGAGACCCACTGCCCTGTCTCCAGCTCCTTGACATGGTGTTTATCCCCTTGTTCCAAGCCTCATGCTGGACCGAGGAGAGCGATGGTTTTTGTTCCAAGTGTTAGAAGCAAAGTACGAAGTGAACTTTATGAAGATGGCTCCTCCCCTGAAATCAGCGAGTCTGCCTTGTCCTTTCTCCTGAAGAGAATTTTATAATCTCTGTACCGTTCATTTTCTTCTAAAAGTAAAAAAAAAGGGGACAAATTACTTGGGATGAGATACGGAGATATAACTGACGCCTGTGAACCCCTCCATCTGTGGAGCCCCTGATGCCCCACCTCTCACCACCATAGTCCTTAAAGTCTGACCTCATCCACCATTCCCAGAAGCTGCTTAAAGCTTACACTCAGCTACTACTTTAAACCTAACAACGGAGAGAAAAACTCTCTAAGGAAACTATGAGTTCATTGGGAAACGAACCGAGGGCTGTATGGGGACTTGTGTGTTGTAGGGGGTCATGGTTGTGTGTGAAGACAGAAAGGAAGACAGAAAGGTTCCCAGGTAGAGGGAGAGAGCTTATGTAAGTTGTTTTGAATTATCGTTGGCCACAAAGATCAATAACAGGGGAGGCCTTGGTGCAAGGTTGACTGGTTGCTAGGCAGCTGTCCTCACGGAAAGGTTACACTGGCTTTTCAGCAGGGACATAGACTTGAGAGTCTTTTACTGGGTTTTGTTACGGTGTGAATGTATAGTATCGTTTGTCATGACCTCCTGGCCTTGCGTTGATTTGGGTTTTAC